CCCCACCTGCTCTGCCCCAGCCGTCCCCAAGAGCAGCTGGGGTGCTGCCGGGTTGGTCCCGTAGCCCCGAGGGGCAGCGCTATGAGACCAGAGGGGCATCACCCCAGCTGCTCTGCTCCCGGCTTCCCCAATTCAGCTGCTGGTCAGTTTCAGCAGCAGCTGAATGGGGGAAGCCTGTCCGGCTGCCCCAGCACTTCTGGGTTCCTGATGGTGCCGGACTAATGGAGTTTTACTGTAAAATGTTTAACTATTTAACTTGAAAGTTTCCCAGAGGCCAAGTGAGATGTAGTTGGAATTTCTTCCCTCTCTTGGTCTTTCTTCAGACTCTGGTGAATAGTTGAAACTACCCATTACTATTAAAGAAGTTAACTTGATTCCCTTTCTGCAGTGCTGATGAATCTTGCCTCAGGTACACATCATAAGTACTAAGCTTTGTTGGAGCATAGGAAAAATAGATGCTTCCCTCAGGCTGCAGATTGACAGCACCAACCACTTTGAACTTGTAGCCATCAGGCTGCTGGGGTCCTTGTTCTGCTTTAGGGTTGAATGGCATTAGATAAATGGTTTGCACACTTGTCTAGTATAGCCACAGAAGTTCACAGGCATTATGATCCCCCTGCACAGTGAAAATCACACCGGTTCTGATGCAGGCAGGATCCACTCCACAAAAGATAAAAGGCAGGAGTTTTACATCACATTTTAAATGGATGGCAGGGCCAAAAGGGCAGTTTGAGGTGAGGGTGATATGGTAAAGAAAATGTGGTATGGGATATAAAAAACCACTTGAAAAGTCTGAAGACGCTTATTGACCTATCTGCGTCTGTTTTTCTAATAATTTCAATTAAAAAACCAAAACCTTTGTGATCCAGCCAAGTTCCTTGTTGGTTGTATAGCAGCCTAGTGTAAGGTGGACATCTTGCAGAGTTGGCATCTGACTGGTGTACCTCAAATGTGGTGACGTAAAACTGTAAGTTGTATTTATCCTTCTTAGTTAGTACCTGCATATTCAGACAACTTAAAAACTAATTGAAACTCTTCAACCAAGAATCAGATGGCAGCTGTACACCTTTGTGATCCATGAATATAGTGTGTGTATTAGGTGATGGAAGATGTTTTTTTAATAGCATTGTTCTTCAAAGTACAAGTTAGTGTGTTAATGGATCATTATATACCTGCTTGCTTTTTTATATTTAAAAATATTCTCTTCTGATTCTTCTCATAAATGTGATTAACATGTTTAGTCATTTACATTCTTGCACTTATATCTAGATTTCTAAATATTAAGAATGTTCTAAATCCCATGACTTCTAAATTTAGGACCCTGAAAAATGAAGGCAAAATAATGCTATTTCAGTTGTATCTTTTAAAATAAATGCTCCACTTCCTAGACTTGATAGCTGAAATGCAGTTGCATTTAATGCTTGCTACAGTATTAAATTGTTACTCAAATCTACTCAGATGAGCAATTTGAGAGTTTTAGATTGTTGGTGAATTATTTAAAAATGTATTATGAGGTTGACTGTCCTCATTAATGGTATTTAATAGTACTATGGATGATTAATTGGCTCATTTTGTTAAACAGGCTTACCACAGCAGTTGACCTCCCTCCTGAATTTATTCACCTTTATATCTCAAATTGCATCTCTACCTGTGAACAGATTAAGGATAAATACATGCAGGTGAGTATTTGAATGACTTATTTAGAAAAGAAAATGTGGCATAGCTAAAAGGTAAAGAAGGCAAGTTCAGGCACAGAGATTTAATAGTGTCTACATGGGGAATTCATAGTCCCCCTTTAGAGATTGTAGCTTCAAGAAGCAAAATACTGCTTTAGTGATACTGTAATATTTTATAAGCATGTGATTGTTCCTTTGGCATTTTTATGGCATAAGTAACAGTCTTAACTTTCTGTAAAGTACTTCAAGCATTCAGTAGCAAAGTAATTGTACAGTGCTTCCACTAGACAATTCAGGTCTACATATGGTGTCGAGAAATCTGATCCTCTTTGTTTGGTGCCTTCCTCTCCATCCATTTATTTGAGTTTGGCATGGTTCCCATTTTTTAAAAATTCTCCTAGTCTGAAAAAAATCTGCAAATTCTAATTAAGCATGAGGATAAACTATTCTACAATAATTTATTTTAGGAAACATTACTCTTTAAATTGTCTTTTTCCTAAAATTAATGACTGAGTTACTTTCAATGATCAGTGCACATATGTTTTAATATCCTCTTTAGTCACTCTGTTCAGAAAATCTTGTGTTAGGATGCAAGCTGTAAAAAAAACAAAAAAAAACCCTGCTACCTACATATAAAGCAAGGGCAGGGCCTAGTTTCTAGTGTCAGTAAAAAAATCTCATATAAAGAATATATCCAGCTCCCTATCCTTAACATGTATTAATATGGCAGCAAATGGGAAAAATAAAAAGCTAACTAGAGACTAGGTTACTTAGCGTAATTAATTCCTGTTGAATTGACAGTCACAAAATACCAGTACAAAGATCAGACTAGCAGAATTGCTTGGGCATATTTTCAGATATTAAACCAAATATTTTATTTCAGAATCGCCTGGTCCGTCTCGTGTGTGTGTTTCTTCAGTCTTTGATCCGCAACAAAATTATTAATGTACAGGACTTGTTTATAGAAGTGCAGGCATTTTGTATTGAATTCAGTCGGATACGAGAAGCAGCCGGCCTTTTCAGATTGCTGAAGACACTGGATACTGGGGAAAACCCTTCAGAGACAAAAGCTTCAAAATAAGACCCTTTCACAAAATTTGATAGCTGTTTTATCAGCTGGACGTTCTGTATCATTACTTTTTGTGTAAACATTTTAAACTTAAATCATTGGATTGCTTAGTTTAATACTGTATAAATAGCATTTTATGCATATAAGCAAGGCAATAAATACTGCTTTTCTGATGCCAGAATAACTTGAGTTTGTTTTGACTTGACTATAGGCACACCATATTATCTGTCCTTAGCTAATTGGTTCTGACCCCACTCCACTAAGTCTAAGGAATGTAAGGAGACTTTCATTAATGGCTAAAGCACATAGTTGCAAAGGACATAAGTAAGTTAGTTTGGAGGGTGAAGGATAATGGATAAAATGGTTCCATATGTTAATGGGCTTGTTTCAAATCATACTAAGCAAGTTTAGAATTGCTAATGCCAACTGAAATAGTGATTTCAGTCCAAATTCCATCATGCCAAGTTTTTATAAACTCATGGTAGGGATGTTAACATGTAATTTACAAGCTCAACTAATAAAGCTGGGCTCATCAGTTAATCCTAACAGTTACATGCACACACACCCTTGTTGCAGTAGTGCAGGGGGGCATAGGAGGAAGACAGGCTCCAAGCTGGCTTTCACGTCAGCTCCCACAGAGCTGCCTTATCCCCAGTCCCCTATATCCGAGATTAGGAGAGGAGGCAGGAGCTGACTCCCTCCTCCCCTTGCATGTAAATGTGTAACAGCTGAAAAATTGTGGTTACACATTTACAAAAACTCATGTTTCTTCAAGAGCTTTACATAAGTTACATTTTTAGGGAAAACAGATCACTCCTTTTAATTTTTGAAATTGTGAAAGGTTCTTCTATCAAGAATTCTTGTGCTTAATATTCTGGGACTGACACGGCTGCAACAATGCTTACTCTAATAATCATTTAATGTGACCTTTAACCAGAGATGGAGTGACCCAGGGTTTGTTGACTGATTACTACTAAGTGCTTCTGAAGATGATCCTGAGAAGGGAGGATAGTCTAAAGGCTACTCATATACAGGAGTTGAGCAAAATTTTCATGCCTGGCTCCCTGGGATGTTGTGCTGGTGATGAGACTGATAAGGGCATGTAATCCAAGGAAAGACTGCAGTTTTATTCTAGCATGAGCTGCTTCTCTAAAGGAGAATGCTGCAGTGTTCAGAGCATTTGCAGCATAACTGCTGTCTGATTTCTGCTCTAACAGGACTAAAGGCTTTAAGAGTTCAGTATTTGAGTGTACAGCATGCCACCATCTATTAGTGGTACCCTAAAAGTGTGTACTGAGGGTAATTAATAATCCCTTGAAGCAGTATTTCTTCAAGACATGGGTTGTGAACCTTGCTAATGGGCTGGGTCACAGCTCCCCCCTCAACTGCAAATAGTGAATCACCATTAATAGGAGCTGTGAGACTGACTGCAGAGCAGGTAAACAAACACACTGGAGGGGCCAGTTGATTGGTTTTGCTGACCCCTTTGAAAAATGCAGCCTTAAGGCTTGCAGTGGTGCTGGAAGCACATCATTCTGGTATTGTGCTCCTTGGTGACTGCTGCTTTTAGCATATCTGCAGGGGAATCACTTTTATGGTACTGGGGAAGAGGACTGCTTCCTGGCAACTGAATTATCCCAGCCTTACTTAATTCTGTAAACTGCTGGAGTAAGTACTCCAACAGATGAACAAAAACAGTGCCTGATGGAGGGTTAAGAGACTGGGTCATAGATGGCTGGATTCTAAAAAGTTCTGCCAAAAGGCATTTAGAAAACAGGGATGTGTCTATATTATACCTTTATATGGGACCATAAGGACAAAAGTGCATGCAAAGCCTTACTGGACAGTGCTTTTGAAAGAAATCTATAGAGAGCACACAACCACACCCAAAAATGTGGTTGAAGATGTAAATAGCTGGCAGTGGTGGTTTAATTCCTACCATTTTGGTATGTATGGGTATCACTGGATGATACACAAACTGAGTATTTACTATACATTTATGGAACAGGTATAAAATATTACTGTTTGATATTTCAAACAGTGCTCAATGTTAAATGCAGGCTTCCTGTTGTAAAATGCCCTAAGATGCTGCTGCCTGGTACCTGGGCTTTTTTTGTCTCTTTCTCTGCATCTCTCTATTTAGGAGAAAATGGGAGAACAGTTGAACTACCCGTGCTGCACTTCAGCTAGACTTCTGTTCTTACTCCAGGGATCAGGCAGAGAGAGAACTGAGCCCCTAAGACTAGTGAACTCTCCACCTCTCTGCAAATAACCAAAAGCTAACACTGCTTATGTAACTAAAACTTAGTGGGCTGTTTGGATGCAGTGCCATATGCCAGCCAGCATGCAATCAACATGCACCTCACTTCACCTGTCTTCAGTAAGACCACTAGGCAAAACAAGTAAGCAGATAGAATCTGTTAATAGTAAACACTGTCTTGGGGGGAACACAGAACCCTGGCAGGACACAGGTTGTCCCCCCACTATGCTATAATGATGGAATAAATCAATAGTGCTGTATGTTTTGAATTGATGCAAGAATGTGCTGCAGCATATACTGAGGTCTGATTACAGGCTAATGCATTCTAGCACCTGTAGGCATGAGGCTAGAACCTTCCTAGCTTAAGAGCTACTTAAATTGCACATGGTAGATAGTTTGCTTCAGTAGCCTGTCCATTAAAGGGAGGGTTAGAAGCCCATTACATTTGGAAAGCATCTACATATGCTTTACATAAGCATCTACATATGCATAAACTATGATGAGGATTTCTAGTATGTGTTTCACTTAGGACCCAGGCACTCTGCCCACATAAGAAAAGCAACCAATGCAAGAGTTTAAGAGGACCTCCCTTACTGAAAAGGTTTAATTGTAAAGATTACAGGCATCATGAAAACTTAAATCTTTAAAAATGCATCCATATCAAGCAGATTACTATTACCTTGTTATACAAGTCCCTGCTCCCACCTAGCTTCAGAAGAATTTCCTGCCCTAAAGGCAGCTGACTGAGGAAGAAGGGACAGAAGCACAGTTTGGCACAGAGATAATACAGGACAGAACTTGCATGTGGTTTGTTTCAGGAGCAAGGGAAAAAGTGTCCCTTAACTCTCAGATTTAAAGGATGAAAGACTAGTACACCACATCTGTATTCCCACCAACAAGTAAAAGAATGCAGCATTGGAAACACTTGCAGTCAACATTCTAGCATCTTTAGGAAAAGAAACTCAGGTGCATATGAAGCAAATGAAAAGGCAGTTAGTACAAAGTATGAAAAGTCAAGTTTTCTAATACCATTATGTTTAATAGGCCCATACAACTTAAGGGATTTTAGGAAGATAAACCAGTTAAATACACTTAATACATAACATTGATTTAATTCAACTTGTTTTTGAAGTATAATGAAAAGTTTAATTTGCTGAATCCAATCAATACAACCAAGTTTATTAAAAAGTTAGATAATAGCAACCTAGTGCTAAGTCAGTTTGTGAGTAGTAGTTTACTCACTATGGTTTCAACATAAACCAAGTTTAACAAGTTATTTCTGTGGATTACATGTTTGCCTAAGCATTAGATCAACACAATCTGAAAGCCTACTCTGTAGTTGCCAAAGGCGAAGTCCCACCAGTGGGGTCAAAGTTTCCCTAGTAAGTTTTTAATGTGTTCACTTTAAACACTGAATGATCCCACTTGTTGGTACTGAAAGAACAAGAAGCCTTCAAATATTAATGGTAACTTAGTGAACAACTTCAACTAGCAGACCATCTTTCACCAGAAACATCTAACTTCACTCAGATTGTTTCTTAAAGTCCTAATTCAAAGTTCAAGTTTTCATTACTTGCTGAATTAGTGAAATATGATAGGAGTTCCAATTTTTCATCCTGTTTTCAGAATGAAATATTCCTTAATTAAAAATGCAGCAATACCATATTGTGGATGAAATACAGTATAGGTGATATACCTAACAACTTAGATCCCTGTCCAGTCAAAGTATAGGTAGACCTAAGTTTCCTGGTGATGCATTCCCTTACACAGATACATGCAGTCACAACATCATCTATCTTCAAGCAATCTCAGGTCAAGATCTTGCCATATGGCAAGTTATCCGAGAATAGAGTTCAGTACCCAGTTTGAATACATGAAAATATTAACTTGATTTATGTGCATCTCTTATAATTCCAGTTCCAGAATCTTCATACCATGTCACCTGTATGAGAGAAAAGAATATTCAATTTATACCACAAAAGAGAGCCCTATTAAGAATGTAATTTAAAATTTATTTTGGTGCAGTGTTGGAAGTTGTAGAGCAGATGAAAAGAGAAGATTCTGCTATTTATGGCGAAAGTCAGTCAGTGGAAAATAGCACTTGTTCATTCAGCTGCTGGCCATAATTCTGATCTACAGGGCAGCAACTGACTGGTAAATTAAATCTAATAGGAGCACTGTCATTTTCTCCCAAGTTAGTTGCACTCTGTTCCCCAAAGTCAGAAGTAGAGATGTTAAATATCAGTTAACTGAATAGTCAAGTAATCTCATGAATTCTTATTGGTTAGTTGACTATTCTATAGTGGGACAGGGACAGCAGCCCGTGTGCTCTGGCTTCACTCCTTAGAAGAGCCCTGCCACTCCGTGCTGCTGGCACTGTATCAGAGACAGTAGCACAGGGTGCCAGGTGGGAGCTGGTCTGCAAGGGGAGCCAGTTCAAAGCCCAGCTCCCTTTGTGGACCTGTGCTGTCCCCCTGTGCTATTGCCTTTCTAGGGGTTGGTCTGAGCTCCCAGCTCTGGCACAAGCCAGAACTGAGCTGGGTTGCTAGCCAGCCTGCTAAAAAAAAATTGTACTGGCAAGTGGGGAGAGGAATGCGTATAGTCTATAGCTTTTTCTTATCCGTTAATTGACTACATTTTTACATCCCTCATCAGAAGGGCTGATCTGATGTTCCACTGGATAACTTCATGTCTTGTACAAAGTAGTAGTTCTGCATTAAACACCACTCGGTGTTGAAATCCAACTGATGTGAGGTTAAATGTATGGTTTTCAATTTTAGTAACTTCCCTTTTCTTTAGTCTCCATAATTAAGTTACTGCCCTAACCTACAGGGCTTTTATTTTAAGTTTTTCTGAGCACAAATTCCCAATTTTATCAAATGCTATTATACTTATGAAGTGCTGACACTGGGACAGCTTTATCGTTCTTTGTAGCCTGTACTATATTTGGTGTTAGGTTCCACAAATAGAAATGCGCCAGCCTTAAACTATTGCACATCTATAATCTCAAAATTGCTGGCATTGTTAATAGTAAATGTATCAGAGCTCTTCTAAACAAACCTGCTTTGGGTTTATAACTATCCTAACTACAGATGGAAAAGCATCTGACTGTAACCATAATATAAAAATCACTAACATTGCTTTCTAAAGCATCAACATTAGGGCTATAATAGAATAACCATTTAAACAGTTAACAGTAACCAATGAGTCCAAGCTTATGTAAACAGTTACACACAGGCTTCCTTGCCCCCCAATTGCCTCCCACTGTGATGTTGTATTAAAGAAGGTAAACATGATGCTTGGGCATATAAATGGATATTAGATTGATAGATTTCAAGGCGAGAATGGACTGTTGTGATCTAGTATGAGCTCCCGTGTAACAGGCTACCAAACTCTCAAAGTAAGTCCTAGAGATTATTTTTAGTAAATCAAGGAGTGGGGAGGTCGTATTTCCTCTTTATCTGGCATTAGACAATTATAGGGCTATTGTGTCAACACTACAAAAAGGATGTTAATTGGACAGACTTCAGAAGAGAGCTATAAAAACATGCAGGGTTTGGAACACGTGTTTTTTTTAAGTGTATTTATCCAAGAGAAGAGGTTAAGAGAAATTAATCATTATCTATAGGTAACTACGTGGGGGAGTCAAGACTGGATGTGTTTCCATAAAGCATTCTGTGGTTCAATTAGAAATTATAGATTTGATGCAGAAGTTATTGGATGAAACTTTCTGCTTCATACAGGATAAAGTCAGTCTAGACTGATACTAGTCCATTCTGGCCTTAATTTATGAGCCCATCTATCCCAGTATCTTGTCACCAACAGTACCCAATGTTAGATGCTTGAGAGGGGATACTAAGAACCTTGTAACAGTTATAAGATAATTAGGCAGAGAACATATTCCTGTGGGACCTTATTAAGAACAGTCTTATTGGGTGACTTCTCCATTTCTAATTAATTTTTGATCCACTTAATATAACTAGATGAAATTGAATAGTTTTTTTTAATCAGTATGTCATGATCTTTATCAAAGGTATCTGGAATAAAAAAAGATACCAAGCTTAAGACCAGTTTTCCATAAAATAATATGATTATTAGTTACACTGCCATCTTTAAAATTCTTTACTGATTGTGTCCCATGCCAGCATTTCCCTGGTGTTGCTTGTGACTGATGTCAGGCTAACCTGCCTATAATTTCCCAGGTTCTAATTTATCCTTTTTAAATTTTCCCACTCCCCATCTAGCTAGTAGTCTCATCCAACACAGCGATTCCTATGTTCTGGATAGGGAAGATCTGCCTCACTAGTAACTACCTCAGTTCTAAAACTGCTTAACCTGTTTATCTAGAGTAGTATAACTTTTCTGCATTTGCAGATCATTACAACATCAAATGGAGAGATGGACCGCAGGGTCCACAAAACAGAAGCCGAAATCCATTGATCTAGAGATCATTTTACATAGTAACAGACTGGTGATTGACTTACACTATTTCCCTTATTTCATTATTTCCCTTTTTCAGGAGGTTTGACATTCTTTTGCTATCATCTGAAGTCAAGATTATTTTTTCCATCCCCTGTGTTTCTCCACCTACCTCTAGAAAAGTTGTTGCTGAGGTCAGACTAATTATTCGCTTCAGGAGACTTTGTCATTGTGCTTCCAAAGAGAGCCAACTGCTTATGGAGACACTGCAATTCGGCCTTTTATTGTCATCATTCCTCAGCAACACAGAAGTCCTTACAAAGTTTGGCATATCAAAGAGAGAATCTCTTATGATTGCATCAGATGTTATTTAATGAAAGTAATAATTAGAATTATAAATCCTGAAATCAGTTTTATACACATTTAAGTAGCTATGAGGGGTACCAAAACTATTCTCATGGAAGCTGTGGATTCTCAGCACGCTGTATAATCAGATACAAGTTGTCAAGCTGGGCACTCAAAATATTCGGTTGCATAAAATTAATGGACAGTTCTGAAAATCTGTCTGCAAGCAACTTGGCCATGGTATCAAAAAAGTCAGTCGCAGAGCTAAAAAACATGCCAAAAATCCTGGTTACCTGGCTGCATGCTCTACAAGACAACACGTCTCCTAAATCAGTCACACAATATTTTGAAACAGCTTGTCAATGGTGGGTGGGCCCTTTAAGGGTAATCAGGGCCAGCTTGCATGACAGGTCAACCCACATCTAAAGGACATAATTAAATTGAAGATGGGCTGGTTGGTAGCTAGTCAACCTGAGAAAGGGTTACAGGGCTCTGTGTGTGGTATAGGGTATGTAAGATGGGGATATTCTAGAAATAGGCAAGCTCTCAAGGAAATTTGCTCCCCAGAACAATGAGTCTAGAAAGTATGCTTCTAGGGACAAAAACAGTGGCAAGAAGCCCAACTTGTTGGGAACTATATACTGCCCCAGACAAGAGCTGCCGTTGACTTTCTGTAGGTACAGTAAACTTCCAATAATCTGGCACCTTTAGGACCCACGGGGTGTGCCGGATTATCAGATATGCCAGACTATCCGAAGAGGGGGCTATGATACCACACAGACCCCTTATAGCCCCCCTTCCGATAGTCCAGCTCTGCGCCAGGCAGCCCCGATTCAGCCGCTGCTGGTCAGTTTCAGCAGCAGCTGAACCGGGACACCTGGAGCAGAGCAGCTGGGGTGCTGCCCGGTTGGTCTGGTAGCGCAGATCCTTGGCTCTGCAAGACCAACCCAGCAGCACTCCAGCATGTCCCCAAGTCAGCTGCTGCAGAAACTGATCAGCGTCTGATTCCAGGAAGCCTGAGGCAGAGCTGCTCTGCCCCGGCAGGCTTCCCGGAGTCAGCTGCTGGTCTTATTTCAGCAGCAGCTGAATGGGGACTGCTGGGGTGCTGCCAGGTTGGTCCTGTAGCCCTCAGGGGCAGCGCTACGGGACCTACCAGGCAGCACCCCAGCTGCTCTGCCCCTGGCTTCCCCAATTCAGCCGCTGGTCAGTTTCAGCAGCAGCTGAATGGAGGAAGCCGGGGACAGAGTAGCTCCACTGGTCCGGCTGCCCAGAGCACTTCCGGGTTCCTGATGGTGCCGGACCATCAGGAGTGCCGGATCAATGGAGTTTTACTGTACTTGGCTCTGGGATTCTCTTCAGATAGTGGGAAGCAGCTTGATTCCAGGAAAGGGACCTGCACTGAGAGAACCCTGCTAATGCAGGGCCTAGAAGGAAAAAAGGACTAGATTTGGGTTGACATAGAAAAATTAAGACTGATCATCTCTAGTTAAGACTCTGTGGTGAAGGTTTGCTTGTATTTTCACTGGGCCTTTGGTTAATAAACTAGATTCCTCAGAAGGAGCTCTGTTCCTTGCACAGAGCCTCAAACTTATTGATGACACAGAGGAAACTGAGCTGAGGTAGTCTAGAGCACTATATTTGGCCAGTAGAGGGTATACAGTGAAATGGTTTTATAGTCTTCCTTTAAATATTTTGTAAGCGACTTTGTGCCAAATCTTGCCAAACTTACTGTCTGTTCTTAAAGTGAGCAATATATTCGCGCCTTTTCATTTTTAAATAGCTTAGGTATGAGCCTGCTTAATTTATGAGACTGCAGAAACTGCCAATCCCACAATAATATGCTTGAACCTAAATTGTCAAGTTGCAGATCAAACAGCAGGGAATCCCAACTGCTGAAGGCCTTTTGCTGTCAGACTTGTACATTAATTATTGTAATAGTTGCAGCAAAGTGTCATATTATAAAAGAATTAGCAGGAATAATTCTTGAATGCTCATACTATTCCCATGTATTTTCTCCCCTCTGTATTTTCTAAATTATGAAGATTTTTAAAGAGTTCATAACTACTTTAAGTGCAATTTTCCACTTGTCTGCCACTCAGTGGCAATTAGATAACAACCATCCCACAGTTCAGGTAGGGCCTTACTTATATAGAAATTTTACTACTCACCATAATGGTCACTCCAATGTGGATTCCATGTTGCAGGTATCAGCAAGACATCTGAAGAATCCCAATGTCTCTGAACTTCTTGCAGGCTCCTGACTGATGAGCTGGAGCTGTGACCCTCTTGATACTTTTTCATTAATCATGTTCAACTTTGTATTAAGGAAGAGGGAGAAGACTTAGCTGCTGTATTAAAGAGTAAATTAAAAAGGCAGCCTTGGAAGTAGAGATTAACTCGCTTTGGAGGCATACTGGTTCCTATGCATCAAAGTTGTTTGGAGATGGGGATGATAATTATTAAATATTCTACTTCATGTGCTTCTCATCAGATAGAGGCATCACAAAAGTTGTACCTGCTGGTGAAATGAGAAAACTGTGCCCTGACAATTATTCCATGAAATTTAATCAGTGGGCACTCCTACTGGGAAAAAAAAAGCAGATCTTTAAAAGGTACTACTACTAAGAATATTTTGGAGAAACAAGTATTTGATGAACTTCTTGGTAAAGTAAATACTCAGAATTTTTTTCCCAGTTGAAAACCCCTTCATTTCTGGAACATACATTCTAAAATAAAATTTCTGCTCCAGTCGAAGCACAGTACAGATTAGAAAAGGATTGCATATTTTCATTTTCTAAAAAACATTCCAAATACACATTGTTTTAGAAACAAAGTGCACTTCAACAAATGTCTGGCAAAAGACACCAATTAAGCAATCTTACAAAACTGAGGAATGTATCATATACATTCATTTATAACATGACAGTACTAAAAGCCTAAGAATTCAACACTATTAAAATGTATACAGTACTGTAAATATACATAGTTTTTTTATAAAACAATTTAGCATTTCCTTGTACTGCCTATTGATGTAGATATCTGAACAAGAGGTCAAAAAGAAGCGGGGCTTTATATTTCATCTCTGATGTTTTGGGTTTAGTAATAAATGCTTTTAAAAAAACATAAGGCACAATACTGCTAATCTAGCAAAGAAATAAAACTAACGACAACTCCGATTTAAAGTCATAATGGAAAATAGCCAAAAGGAATTTCCTATTTTGAGACAAAAGCAAAGACCCCTAACTTCATAAAAAATCCTAAGGGATCCCAGTTTGTGCACATGGAAATGAGGGCAAGAGAATGTTTAAGAGGGAAATCAGGGAAGTCTAAAACAGAAATACCCTAGCCATAATAGCCCTTTTCTACTCTGTTTTAGTGAGTTAAAGATTGAGAGAGAGGTAATTGACATGGATGCTAGATGAATCAACACGCTCAGCATGTTAACACTATCCAGCAAAGACACTGAAGTTAGTCATTTCTGCCAAATTCAGCATAGAAGTTAATGAGATGAAAAAAATGTAGGTACTCAGCTCTGAGTTAATATCAATGGTTCTTAGTGTTTTCTAAGAAAATTGCCATCAATTATTTTTTCATCCAGTGGTGAGTGGAAGATGCTATATAATATCAAAGGAATTATTTGATAGTTTCACAATCTATTTTGCATGCTGCTTAAACATCCAGCTTTTTTTAAAGTATCGTTTAATAAAATGTAGTGTTGAAAATGCTTTCAGCTTTATGTACATGCTAAACAAACAGTGTAACCAACATTTATCCATACAACTTTTTATATTCTGTTCTCTCATCCTAGTCTTCATCTGTGCTACAGCCCTCTGGAACACACCAACATTGAATAATTCTTATATCAGATGTATTGCATCTTTCATAGGATCAGACAGACTAGTTTAAAAAATCCTTTTTATACAAAATTCTTAGTTATTAGCCCTTTTGGAACATTAACTAGAAAAGTTCTCAAGATAAAATAAATTACATTGTTATTTTTCCATCAACTAGGCCAAAGTTCATACTAAATTAAATAAAAAGTTCTTTAAGCAGTCTAATCAGTCTTCCATGAAGCTTTTCAGTGGGAATTTCCATTAGACAGATGTTCTCCATGCCGACTATCACTGCCGTCCATGTCTAAAAATTAGGAGTTACAAATTTAAATCATTACCTATTAAGTCAGTTAAGTATTAATAGGGTAAACCAGTATTACATTTACTAAGCTATCGAGAAAATTTGGGGACAAGTTGTACATCTAGTCATGCAAGAGTCCTGTTTATTTCAACGACAAATCAAAACTGTGCACAGGAAATGAAGGTTACTTGTACCAGAATTTTGAGATAACTGAATATTCAAACTTATGGATGTTACGCCACCCATTGGCAACTAATGGTAAAACCTTCCTCAAACAGTGTCCATTGAGAATGCGTACATACCCCTCCTCCCATCTCTCCTCAGTGTTTAACATTCTGATTGTGTTGCAAAATATGGAGGCACCACACTTCCTACCACCTCAGTTCCTCCCTCCAGTAATTCACAGAAATCATAACAGGACTGAGATTGGGAAAGTGGGCAAGAAAAGTTAGTAACCTTCTGCAACTGTTGTTCTTATAGATGTGTTGTACATGTCCATCCTACTCTGGGGTGCATGCGTCTCAAGCACAGTTGCTGGAAATTTCCCCTCCAGTAGTATCTGTTGGGGCAACTTGAGCCCATATGCCTACAGCACCAGTACAGAGCATCCAGTCAACCCCTTGTCCCCTCAGTTACTTCTTTCCAGAGGACTTTAAGGGAAGGATATGGGATGGACACGTGTAACATCTCTAACAACAGTTATGGAAGGTAGCAACCATTTTTCTTCAATTGCATATATGTATTCCATTCTAGGTGACTCAAGCAGCTGAATAAGTGGAGGAACTGGAGTTCATGGACCTCCTGAATGCAAAACAGTTTGACCAAATTTGGCACTCTGCTGATATGACATAATGGAAGGAGAATGTGTGCACTGATAACTGGGTCATTGCTTTACAAATGTCTTGAATAAGGATCTGCAATAGGAATGTTGCAGAGAACGCTTGTGACCTTGTGGAATGAATTAGTGGCAAAAACACCTTCCTGAGTATAACAAATAACAATATGTGAAGTGAACCAGGATGAAACTGTCTGACAAGACTGGGAGACTTATCACATTAGCTATGCTACAATCAGTTGGACAGACTTATGCAATGGTTTAGTTCTTTCTATGTAGAAAGCTTAGGGCTGGTCTAATGTTCAGTGAATGAAGGAGTTAATTCCAATTTACATGTGGCTTGAGAGAATATACAAGTGGATAGATCGCCCAAATTCTATGACATTACAAAACCATTTCTGAAACAAAGCTGGGTGAGGATGTAAATATGCCTGAACATTAAAGACCACTATACAGGCTGTGATGTGAGGGCACGGAGCTTCAAGACCCTTCTGGCTAAAATAACCACAACACATCCAACTTTCCAGGAGATATAAAAGGAACATACTGCCAAAGGTTCAAACAGTAGTCCCATAAGATTTGATGGGAACAAGTTCAGGGGTCCCAGGCAGAAACAGGCTCTCTCACTGGAGGATAACACCTTTCTAAGGCCTTTGAGAAATTGAACAGACATGTTATTTGGGAAAAAAACCCACACTGGCTACCCACCCAAAGGTGGAAATCCAATACTGCTGCAAGGTGAACCTTGACAGAGTAGAGTGCTGTTTCAGGTACAATAAATATGCAAGTATTTCTTGCAAGAATGACTGCATAGGTGAAACTCCTGTTGGAACATCCACTTGTAGGGATAACATATTAATGTATTGAAAATGATTCCTCCAAATGGAAGTGACTCCCCATAATTTGTTCCCGAGAATATAATGTATTAGATCATATAACTTAAAACTGTTAAGAATATAATCCTATGTAGCCAGAAACAGTCCCTCCCCCCCCCCCAGGGCATGCTCAAGCTTGTGCAAGGGGCTGCTTGAAATTGACATTGCAGAGATACATTGTGACAATGCATTGTCAAGCCACTAACTCTGCTATGGGAGCCAAGCCCTGTAATTGACTAAGGGCATTGTTACTTAATTGAGGCCTGTTCTCTTTAAAACATTGTAACTTTATTCAGCACTCAGAGAATGTTTTAAGCAATACCACCCAGAAACTTTCTGTAACTACAACTCTGATATATGTAAAGTTATTATTATACAAAAACATTGTATGGGAAACATTAAGGAATGTATGTAAGAGAGAGAGAGTGCTTGGATGATGAGTGAATGGTTCTAAGAGGTGCCAGCCTGAGAATACAGCAACAAAGGGCTGAAGAAGGCGTCAGGTGCCAGTGCAACCAAAAGGTGTCAAGTGGAGAAAACCAAGTACTGGAGGTCCACCCGATGAGATCACTGATGAGCACCTGGCAGCCACCCTGGAGACATCAGCATGTTGCAGCAATTTCCATAGACTGGCATAGGAAGAAATTCTTATAAGAACTGGACTAAAAAACTATGGAATCAGAGTCCAAGGTTCTGCTGCCAGCCTACCAGGAGCTTCAGATGCGCATCTGATCAGGACTTCGCTCCCCACTACCATCACTTGTGTACAGAATACCTGGCCAGTATTCTGTCACAAGCAACTTCCAGGCTGGTAACTATAACAAATACACAGAACCTGAATGAATGGATGAATGAATGTTTATATGTATAAGGGTTAAGTAGTTAAACAACGTTGTTTGCTTCTATCTTTTCTTTAAATTTATTATTATCTTTACAATAAATGTGGCTTTTTGCCTTATCCCCCTCATAAGATCCTGCTTGCTTTTATTGGTATAACACACTCAGAGGTAAACAGCCCTAGTAGAGAGCTTTCTACCTCCTAAGAGGACCTGATGAACTTGCACTGAGCAAGCCCGCTCTCTGGAATTTAGCTATAGAGTTTCCACGACATTAGGTGAAGAGCGCTCAGGTTTGGGTGAAGCAGCTTGACTGTGGTGCTGAGAGATCAGATCTGGGTGTAATGGAAGCAGAATTGGAATCTCCACTGAGAGGCCTAGCAGAGTGGAGAACCAATGTTAGCCCCAGTATGGCCCACTAGCATAAGCTGGGCCTGGTCCCATTTGATCTTTAGCAGTACTCTGCACAAGTAGGATACTGAGAAAGCATAAAGATAGCATTTCTGCTACTGTGGATAAGATATGTAAAGCCTCCATAGCGGATTCACTTTTGACAAAGGAGGCAAGAGCTAGCACCTCCTTGCCTGTTGAAATAAAACATGGTGGCAGTTTCAACCATGAGCACAAACAAGTGTCTAAAGTGGGTCAGGAAATCCTGACTGGCCAGGCAAACCACTCACTTCCCTTATTGATGGGGAGTGAAAGTTTCACTGGACTACTTCACAAAGTCCTTGAGTTCTGAGGGGCCGCAGGTGAGCTCCCTACACTAGTACTGACACGAGGGCATTGACAATGGAGAGCATATACAGGAAACAACCTCACAGTGAGCAGATCCAGCCATCAATTGAAAGACAAGAACCCAAGAAAATACTGTGAATGGAGGTCCAGATTATGGCAGTTTGGCAAGTACACTGAGGCCAGCCACATTTGGTGCAGCCTTGTCTGTTGTACCATGTAAATTCATGAGGCCTTGTGACCTAAAAGCCTCATAAAATTTCTTAAGAATGGATATACTGGATCAGACCAAAGGTCCATCTAGCTTGGTATCCTGTCTTCCGCCAGTGGTCAATGGCAGGTGCTCCATAGGAAATGAACAGAACAGGTAGCATTGAGGAATCCATCCCTTGTCACTCATTCAAAGCTTCTGACAATAGAGGTTACGGGACTATTCCTATCCATCCTGGCTAATAACCATTGATGGACCTATTCTCCCTCAATCTAGTTCTTTATTGAACCCTGTTAAAGCCCTGGTCACAACATCCTCTGTCAAGGAGTTCCACAGGCTGACTGTGCTTTGTGTGAAGAAATACTTGCCTTTGTTTTAAATCTGCTACCCATTAATTTCATGTGGTGACCCCTAGTTTTTGTGTTTGAGAGCTAGTAAATCTCACCTTGTCCACACAGTCATGATTTTAGAGACCTCTACCATATATCCCACCTTAGTCACCTCTTTTCTAAAATGAAAAGTTTAGTTTTATTAATCTCTCCTTATATGGCAGCTGTTCCAAACCCCTAATCATTTGGCCTAAGCAGAGTTGAATACTGCTCCAATGAACTCTAACCTGTGCAGCAGACCTCTCTACATTCACCAAAAGGCCCAAAATACCCTTTGGGCGAGTCCAATGCTGGGCATTACTTAAGCTCTGGAGCAGCCCTTGATTAGCCAGATAGATATCCCTAATATCCCACAGATAAGCCTGCCACTATAACCATATTTTGTGAATAGCCAGGGAGCTGCAGACAGGCCAAATAGGAGGACCGTGCATTGGTAATGGAAATAGTTCACTATAAATTTGGTGTGTCTTTGGCATATGTATACTGTATATGAAAACAGTCAGCTCTTAATAGTGAGGATCCAGGAAGGGGATAATGGATGCTAGCGCAAGCATAAAGAACTTAGCTTAACTATCTCAAGAAAATTAAAACACAAAATCAGTTAGATCCTCCCGTGGCTTTAGGGATTTAGAAAATCCCTCCTTCCCTCTTAATTTCTGCAGAACCTTTTCCCCAGCTCCCAACCAAAGGACATATTGAACCTCCCAGGCCAGATGTCTGAACGGGGTTCCTAAAGAGGAAACGGGAGAGAGAGTAGGGCAAAAGGAGCAGAAATTTACTACAGTGTTCCTCACTTCCATCATGCTCAACACCCAACAGTGAGTAGTAATACGGGACCATGAACGGAGGAAGTGGGAAAGATGGTTTGTAAGCAAAGGAGAAAGGATCTGGCATCATGGGAAGTGGTAAAACATTTCTGACTGTCCCATCAAGACATCTGCTGGGAAACTCCCTTGATGTCTGGGTGGAACCAGAATTGCCCCGCCCGAGTTAGACCGGGGTGATGGCCGATGTCTATCACACCTATTTCTTTTTCTCTATGGATTCTGATAGGCAGCTGGTGCAGAATAGCCACGGCCATCCTTACACAGAATATGTGGTTGCCTAGTGATAGAAATGTAG